CGTATGCCCCCAAAAAGGAAGGGGAGTTTCTTTGGAGAAGGAGAGAATTCTCCAACCTGGATCCCACCCCTAATGCCCCTGGCATCAAACCTCCTCACATCTCCTTTAGCGGCTGTCCACACTCCTGCGGGGACATTTCGTGCAAAGGACTGGCTTCGTTTATTTCAAGATCTTCAGGTCCTTCAGCCCTTATCGCTGGGTGTTCCTTTGCCAGTGGCGCTACTGCTCCCAGCCCCTTCTGGGCCACTGGTCAAGCTGTCCTGTTTGAGAGGGCTCATGACGACTGGCTTTGTGCTGGTGCTTCAGAATATAATCCGGTTTATCGCCTGATGTGTCTCGTAGTTTAAAATTGCTGCATCCCATTTAAGCACGTTTGTAGATTTGCTGTTCAAACCAAACTCTTATCCCTTTGTTCTATCGCCAGCCTCCTTGAGCTTTATGGAAAGGTGGCGCATAACATTTAAAAGAGTGGAAGCAACCAATTAGCACCCTTGTCTCTAGACCCCTAGAAATACAATAGCTGAAGATGCTGCTCTACCTTTTTATTCCACACTCTTGTAAGTCCACAGACTGCGTGCCATTCCACACTCTTGTAAGTCCACAGACTGCAAGGGAACTCTACTTCGGATTGCGCTGTCTCGCCAGACACGGTTGTAGGATCAGGCTTGCAAGGACAGACCCTTCTCATCTTTGGTATGCTCACATCACAAACAGACAGCTTGCCGTTTTTCACTCTATGGTTGGTGCGATTCATTTGTAATCACTGTCCCTGTTACCTTTATAGGACAGTTTGGAGTTTTGTGGTATTCCTTAAGCAAAGTATCACGTACTCCGATCCCCTTCGAAGCCCCAGGGGACTGGCTACGTACAACACAGCAAACAGCAGGTGAAGAATAACTGTCAGCAATATAGATAGATTCAGGAGGGCTCGCCAGGTTGGTCTGAAGCAACAGAGCAAAGTTTGACTCCAGGCGCACCTTGAAGACCAACTAAGTTTAAATCTGGGTATCAGCTTCTGTGTGTGCAACTGGATAAATAACTCGGATCAGTTATTAGAGTCTGTGGTCTATACTACTGTGTATAGTTTGCTGTAAACTGGATCCTGCTATGTAATTTTGCATCGTTTAATGTGTCACGTTAACACTTTCAGTTCTGTTTTTTTTTACAATTTCTGTTTCATTCTACAACCTAAATGCTCCTGCACTGTTCACTGAATGTCCCATCCTGTTGATTGTATTGACTCACTCTAGATAATCTGCCTTAAGACCCACCAAGAAAGGGTGGACTATAAATAAAATGAAATATGAGGAAGAAAAGGGCGGCAGTCCCTTGTGTGAGAGCAGAGGCACTGTGTATACCGGAAGATGTCCCTGCTTTCACCTGGGAATCATATTTATAACACAACCGTTCTAACAGGTGGCAGCAAAGTCCAGTTGCTCTCTCACCATCTGAGCCCCGAGCCTGAATGCAATTTATTACATCTTGAGCCACTCGGTAGCGGAGGAGCATAAATGTCCAGGCGATTCCCGGAGAAAGTCACGCACAAGTTCCACTGTGAATCCAAAACTCTCCCCCTGCCCAAAAACAAAAGCCATAAAGTTGCGAACGTTGGCAAAAGCCAAGCTCAATAAAATAAGCACATCGATATGCACGTCTTTCCAACCGGGAATACCATTAACCCAGAGTCTATAAAGCCTCTTTTCGTTTTTTAATGTACATTGTCAAATCTTTTATATGTCTCCATTTCAAAGAGCTACAGGAGAGGGGAGAGGGAGGGAAGGGGGAAAATTAAATATGCTAACGATATGAGAAGAGAACGGCCGCTGCTTTAAAGAAACATGCCGGGGCACTGCTTTGAGCCGCAAAAGAAAGGATGTTATTTAAAATGGAAGGATTTTTTTTTAGTTGACATATTTTGCGTGCCTTCCTGATTTAAAAAGCTCTGTTATGAAAGGCAGCCATTATTTACAAGTGAAGAAAGAAAAGGGAATTTGCCCCCTTTTCTCCCCCTCCCAAAGACTCACTTCGCCATTGTCCTCTGTATCCATTTCCAGGAAGCCATATTCATTAGGGTTAATCTGCCTCCTAAATGAATAAACAAAGGGCTCCTCTGTCACCACCGAGGGCCAGGTGAGCAGATATAATCTCCCAGCAGAGAGAGCCATCCCGACCAAACCAGGCGGCAGGAAATTACCTGCTGCCGTCCCACACCTGTGACTGCTCCAAGAGTAGCTCGGAGATGCTGAGGAGGTGACCAAAAATCAAGCCCATTTCATTGGTTAAGAGAGGGAGAGAAAGAGAACGGACACCAGCTAACGAGCACACTGTGGATCGTCTCTCATCACGTTCAGAGGAGACTTCCGGAGATGGATGTTCCTCTGATGATCTCATTTTACTGGCAGCAAAAACCCTCTGTGGTGTGATGATTTCCAACGAAATGATTTTGTCCAGCCAGAGCGTTCTTATCCCAATCTTCCTCCAAGGTCCACAGGGTTGCCCCTCCTCCATCTTATCTTCACAACAACCCTGCGAGGTGGGTTAGGCTGACTGTGGGTGACGAGGCCCAGCATCGCCCGGTCAGCTTCATGGCCCAGTGAGGATTTGAACCTGGGTCTTCCCCAGCCTGGCTCTCACGATAAAACCTGGGCAGGGAACCTGCGGGGTTTGATCCCCACAGACTATGGTAGGGAGCTATTTGGGAACTGTGTGAGCTCAGGCCCATTTAGGGTTGCCAACCTCCAGGTGACACCTGGAGCTCTCTCACTATGACAATTGATCTCCAGGCAACCAAGATAAGTTCCTCGGGACAAAGTGGCTGCTTTGGAGCGTGGACTCTGTGGCATTGTACCCTGCTGAGGTTTCTCTTGGGTTGCCAGATCCTCCCTGGCCACCGTTGGGGGACGGGGGGGGGGAGCGTTGCCAGATCCAGGTTGGGAAACTCGTGGAGCTTTGGGGATGGAGCCCGGGGAGGACAGGGACCTCAGTGGGGTAACAGTGCCACAGAGTCCACCCTACAAAGCAGCCGTTTGCTTCAGGGGAACTGATCTCTGTAGTCTGGAGATGAGCTGTAATTCCAGGGGATCCCCAGGTCCCTCCCCTCCCCAAACCCCACCCTCCACCCCCAAAATCTCCAGGTGTTTCCCAACCCAGAGTTGGCAACCATAGGCCCACAGACGGGAATCAAGCGTGGCCTGATTTGTGTAGGATTTGTCTTGCAGTTGCTACAAGGTGCTGAGTCAGGGCTCACAGATTCTTCACCAAAAGAGCAGGACTCTGGAGGGGGCAGAAATCACTCTTTGCCTATGAAACTATCACCCCTCCTACTTTCCCAGCAAGAACTTTGCTAAGACTGGGGTGGGGGGCGGGAGACAGGTAGCCCTTTTACTGAGCTCTATTGGGAACAAATTGAGCGGTGGCTCAAGTGGTTAAGACGCTGAACTGCAGACCGGAAGGTCCGTAGCTCAGCAGTTCGAGACCCAAGTGCCGCATGGCGGAATGAGCTCCCTTCTCTGGTCCCAGCTCCTGCCAACCTAGCAGTTCGAAAGTAAGAAATTGCAAGTAGATAAATAGGTACCACTTCAGGGGGAAGGTAACAGTGTTCCATGCACCTTGGCGTCTAGTCATGCCGGCCACATGACCACGGAAACTGTCTTCGGACAGCGCTGGCTCTTTGGCTTAGAAACGGAGATGAGCACCGCAACCCTAGAATCGGATTCAACTGGCTTTCGAGCAAGGGAAACCTTTACCTTTACCTACTGGGAACGAATGCCCAAATGGCTTTCATTAGGTGTCAGGAGCTCTGTAAAATGTCCCCAAAACTATCAGTTCTGTCTTAGGGTCCTGCAACATCAGCCTCTGTGACTGGCTAAGAGAATGAAGGCCCCTGATTGGCTGGGCTTGGTAGACATCCTCAGAGGCCAGCCGTCAGCCCTTTCCTTGCCATTTGATTTTGGCACTTTGCTTTTTGCCAGTGGCTTTTTGTGCTTTGGGGCCCAGTTCAAGCTGCTGACTTCAGGGGCCCAACACCAGAGGAGAAGACCTCCTCCAAGCCTAGATTCAGACACGTCTCCCTGCACGAGCAAAGTCAGTGAGAGACTGGTGGTGGGATGCCTCTTGGCCCAGGCTGCTTATAGATAACCTGGAGCTGCCCTCGCCCAGGCAAGTGCGCTCCCGATTGCGATGCTCGGACTTTCCAGCTTTCCCCGGGGTCCCAGCAGCAGGCCCCAGGGACCTCGGAGTGGAGTGAGCACCCCCTTCAGGTCTCCGTTTGGGTGTGGTCCTTGCGACCAGCAGCCTGTCTAGTGTGGTTGAAGGCCTTTCTATCTGACGAGATCCCAAAGTTTACAGTAGGAGATGTGGCGCTGTTAGCTGGGGATCGGACCTGTGGGGATCTGTCAGGGTCAGTGTTCTCTCCCCTGCCAGAAGGACTGTCTCTCTTCAAAGGACCCTGTGTCAGACTGCCCAGCCCCTTAGCACTGCTCTCCCTTGGAGGCTTGCAGGCATCCAACTATACTGCAGCTGCAGTCATACAGAACGTGTGGCCAGAAGATGCAAGGCACACATCTGCTCATGTATCCATTAGGAGGAGGAGGAGGAGGAGGAGGAAGGAAGAGGAGGAGGAAGAAGAGGAGGTGGAGGAGGTTGGATTTATAACCCACCCTTCACTTGGAGTCTCAGAGCAGCTGACAAACTCCTTTCCCTTCCCCTCCCCACACCCTGTGAGGTAGGTGGGGCTGAGAGAACTGCTCTTTCAAGGATAGCTCTGACAGAACTATGGCTTGCCCAAGGTCACCCAGCAACTCCAAGTGGAGCAGTGGGGAATCAAACCCGGTTCTCCCAGATGAGAGTCCGCACACTTAACCATACACCAAACATACATGAAGCCACTGAATTGGATCAAGGGTCTATCAAGCTCCTCAGTAATGTCTATTCGGACTGGCAGAGGATCTCTGGGGACTCAGGCAGAGGTCTTTCACATCACCTACCTGATCTCTATTAACTGGAGAGGCCAAGGATTGAACCTGGGACCTTCTGCATGCAAAGCAGATGCTCTACCACTGAGCCACGGCCCCCCAGCATTTGAGGATGGCTGTTAAAAGTAGCAAATATCGTTTCTATTATTGCTTCGGCAGCTTCTCTGTATTGTGGCTGTAAAATGTGACTCTACATTTTTATTACTGTCATTTCAGTTGTGCAGTTCAAGTGCTACCTTTGTGTCTTTTTGTTAGTCTTCTGAGCCTCCGCAGGTGGGGGGAAAGTGGGATACAAGAGCTTGAGTAGATACAAAAGTATAAACCAATAGCAACCAGTAAGCAAAGTTGTTGCTTACATTAAAGAAAATGGCAAGCACAAGTGGCACGTAAATTTGTCTATACCCATCAACACCGGGTATCATTTCACTGTTACCTCTAGGGCTGCCGGGGGTCCCCGGCCACTGGGAAGGGGACATGGATGGTAGGGTTGCCAGATCCAGGCTGGGAAACTCCTGGAGCTTTGGGGGGGCCTGGGGAGGACGGGGACCTCAGTGGGGGGTCCAGTGCCCTATAGAGTCCACCCCCCAAAGCATCCATTCTCTCCAGAGGAACTAGTCTCTGTAGTCTGGAGATGAGCTGTAATTCCCGGGGATCCCCAGACTCCCAGCACACCTTCTCCCAAGTACAGAGAAGAGGAGAGGGGAACTGCTCCGTCTGAGCAGGCACGCAATACGTCAAACAGCAGGAAATCCTGAACACTACGATCTCTCCGAAACCACGCCTGTAGCCTGTGCAGAGCTACAGCAAGCCACCCTGAAGCCGCAATGATTCTGGGATTTAGAACTGTGTGTGCGTATCTTTGAACATCTAAGAGTGTGAGTGTGGTGGTGGGGGCGGGATCCGTGGGCCAGCAAAGAGCAGGAGAGCCTATCTGGTTTGCCCTTCATGCAGTTTTCATCGGCCTACCCCTGTGGCACGGCTGATTATTTAATGTCTCCAATAGGTGTTAAAAAGTTTCTCTCCCGCCACATGGGGAATGTATTATGAAACAGGAAGAGGCAAGTGGCTGCAGTTAGAAGCACAAAGGTGAGATAATGGCCTTCCGCATCGCCGAACTGTCAGGGCCGCTTAACATAACGCCGGGCGGCTCGAGACTCCCGAGCCCGGCTCTCCTCTTGAAATATATATAGAATGTTAAAGTAAATGACAAACACAGGAGTTGTCACCTTTCTGGGAGCCACAATCCCCACCGTCACCTCCAAGCATATGCTCTGCTGCAGTAATTATTGGAAGCATCAGAATTTATTTGGTTCGGGGTGAGCTTTTCGGCGCAATCAAGCTTCTCCTGGAGCGTACCACTTCAGTGTGTGGGTGGGAGAACTGCGTGTTGGAATGTTCTCCTTGACACCCTAATTTTCTATGTGCAGGGAGGCTTTTTTTTCTTATAGTGAAGCGCCCCAAAATACACCCCCTAAAGCCTCTCTATCTACAGACGTTCCCAAGATCCAAACTCAGTGTGAGAAGCAGCTCAAATGAAAAAGCTGTCTTATTCTTAGTTATACATTATTTACCTGAAGACGTGTGCATGCACACAAAAGCCTATACCCAGAATCAGGGCTATTTTTGGGCAGGAACACACAGGAACGGCGTTCCGGCTGGCTTCCAAGTTGGCCACGCCCAGCAGGAACTCATTAGCATAATAGGCCACACCCAACAGCAGAAACTCATTAGGATTGGCTACATTAGGGGTGTGTGGCCTAACATGCAAAGGAGTTCTTGCTACAAAAAAGGCTCTGGGTTTTGGCAACAAACAAGGTAAACAGAATAAGAAGCAAAAGGTGGGTGTGGCTGGATGAGCACACTTCTGGTAACATGGGGGTGTGGCCTAATATGCCAATGAGCTGTGCTGTCAGGGGTGTGGCCTAATATTAGGGTTGCCAACTCACTTTTTGCCGGGAGTGGGGGGCTCCCAGCTGGTGTCCTCTTTGTGCACAAAGAGTTTCCCCCTCAAATGGCGTCGCCCCGCCCCCAGCGTGCGACGTCACTTCCGGGTGATGCACGCGCGGGGGTGGGGTTTCCCCCGGACCCCGATTCTGCTGGAGCGGGAATCGGGGCTCGAAACCGGGGGGAATTCCGCCCCCGGGGGGATTTGGGACCCCTACCTAATATGCTAATAAGTTTCTGCTGTTGGGTGTGGCCTATTATGCTAATGAGTTCCTGCTGGGCTTTTTCCACACAAAAAGCCCTGCCCAGAATTAAACCTTGTTATCATAAAGGTGCCCCACTGGACTCAAACTTTGTTTTATTAAGTTAATTTATAGCTTACTTTTCTTGCAGATAGTTTCAGAGGGGCTCTCTAAAGGTGCTACTGGACATAAGGCTCAAGGCGGATTACAAAATACTAAAAAAAATACTAAAATCAGACCGCACAAGCCATTCAATAAACAATGCAATAAAGCTAGGATTACTCGTACTTTTTGGAGACAGCTGAAGACATTCCATTTTCTTCCTTGTGTAATGGGATATGCAGATTAGTCCCGAAAAGTGAAGAGGTGAACCTCAAAAAGCACTGAACAAAACAGTTTACTCCAAGGAGTTTAGGTAGTGCACACTGTCCCCTTCCCAATTTACCATCACAGCACCCCTGCGAGATTGGTTGGACTAAGCGACGGAGCTGGCCCAAGGTCACGCAGTGAGCTCCATGGCACAGCAAGGCCTTGAACCTGGGTATATCTGATCATGATCGGACACTCTAACCACTACACCACATAGGCTCTCAGTATTTATTACCGAAAACATTCCAAGATATCATGCATGGCACATCTTGAGTGTTACAGAGGCAAACGGTTGACCATTTTATTGTCCTCAACAGAATTGCTAGACTGCCGCAGTAAAGAAACAAACCAAATCAATAGAGGCTCCAAGTAAACCTGAAGTCCCAGCCTGCAGAGGAGGCTGCCTGCTACGATTTCTGTAAGACAGAGTAATTGCTTTATTTTGATCAACCTTTGATGGGGACGCAAGCCATTTTGTCCCATCTCTGCACTGTGTGCAATGGGGTTATCCAGTTGCTCTTAATACAGACCCAGTAGAATTATTCACTTTTGGGAGGAGGGTATCCACTGCAACTCTGCATGAGTCACTACTCTTCTTCTGCAGCTAAATTTATTTATTTGTTTGTTTTATTAGATTTTTATCCCGCCCTCCCCGCGAACAGGCAGCACTATCTGAAAACAGATGATTTTTACAGAAAGCCTCTTTCAAATGTGTTAGTAAAGTTGACCTCTAGTGAGAATTTGGGGGGGGGGGACCTGTACCACAACTCATAGCATAGAACAGGGTTCCCAATCCTTTTCGACCTGTGTGCACCTTTGGAATTCTGACATGAGGTGGTGGGCACAATCACAAAATGGCTGCTACGGGAGGTGGAGCCAGCCACAACATGGCTCCCTCAAGAGGCGGAGCCATACACATACAGAAACCCAAGTGCAGAGGAGAAGGAGTTTTTATACACACACACACACTGGAAAAGAGGGGAGGGAGAAAAACTAACACTGCTGGCAGCTATCACTGAAACATTATTTTAATCTGCACAGCAAGCAGATCTCCAACGACCCATTAGAAGCCCTACTGGTAGGGTTGCTAGATCCCTACCTGGCAATCAGCTGGGTGGGGGGAGAAGTTCTGTGCCCGGGAATTTCGCATGCCCGGCGCGATGAAGTCACCCGGAAGTGATGTCATCGCACTGAGCACATTATCAAGGGACGCTCTAGCGTTAGGCCTTAAAACTCTATGGTACCATAGAGTTTTAAGGTTGAATGCTAGAGCGTTCCCCAACGACATGCCCGGTACGATGACATCACCTTCAGGTGACGTCATCGCACCAGGCAGGTCGGCCCATTTCAGGCACTTTGGGGGCAGGGTTCCCCCTGGCGGCCAGATCCAGGCTAGCGGGTTGGGGGCCCCTAGAGCGGGCAACCCCCCCCCCAGGGGGACCTGACAGCCCTACCTACTGTGTAAGAAACCCCACCTGGCCCACCCACCTTCTAAAATCCCTAGGCAGGAATCAGGAAAGGCACCATAGCACCAATGGTCGCCATAACAGGGACCCAGGGCCTAGAGCCATGACATGCAACCATCAACAGCTTTTTGATTCAGAGTTGCATTTTCCATAACTGGTACAGCCCAAACTTTGCAATAAAATCTTGAGTTGGCAGCACATCATTTCTAATTTAAGTCACTTTTCTTTGCATCAAACTTTTAAAATTGTGTTTTTCGGCCTCTCCCCTTCAGCCCTGCACAGAAGATGACGCTTGCTGCAGCATTGGTTTAAAAATAACGGAAATTGAAAGATGAAATGTAAATGATTTAAATGCGCGCATATGTTCTGTTGTAAAATGCATCATGCAGATGCAGGGGAGGTTTATTTTTCTACTCGTGTTTTAGACTCAAATCAAAGGGGAAATGGCTCACTTAAGAGATGGTGAATTTTTTATCTGTGTTTTAAAGGCAAAAATGTAGTTCTCTGTGTTTTACAATATGCTGTATTTGAAAACAAAAAGGGAAATGGATAAGAAATAGAACGCTGGAATGCACTCGGCCGGGGGCGGGATTTCTTTCCATGTTCTAAGTTATTTTTGAATTGGTGTCACTTGAGTTAGAAGACAAGGCCTGGGACCCAAGCTAGGGCTCAGCTCTTTGTTTTCATTCTTCACTCTTGGGGTCACAGCCAATCGTCCCCAAATATACAAAACATAGGCAGTTTTTCCTTTAACTTATGCTCCTTCATAATCCGCTACATCAGGGCAGGGCCTACATTGCCCCCTCCCACCATAGGGTTGCCAAGTATTACCTCGATTCGGAGTGGGGGATTCCCAGGTCGCTCCTGGAGTGTGCGCGCGCAAAGCGCGCAACGCCACATCCACGTCACACGGAAGTGACGCGATCATGCAGGGCACGCTGGGGGCGGGGCCATGACCATCTGAGGGAAAACCATAGAGTTTTCCTGGTGATGTGCACATCAGGGTGGAGCTCCCCCTGGGGCCCGATCCAGCGGCGGATCCACGTCACACAGAAGTGACGCGATCATGCAGGGCACG